ATGCGGTAGGGGTCGACCGTGGCATGGAGATCTGGCAGAAGACGATATCCGCGTCCTGGTCGCTCTTCAGATACGCCGGGTCGGTGACTAGGTAGTCGGGTATTTGCACGAGCGCACCGGGCCGGCTTGGCGAGGATGCGGCGATGCCGAAGTACTTGTGGGTGTCGATACCGTAGTCCAGGCTGGAGGAGAAGGGAATCGGCGACCCAATGAAGATGGCGGTCTGGAAAGGGGGCGTCTTGCCTGCGATCCAGGAGTGTAGGAGAATGGATGCCGCGACGGCGGCGCCCTGAGTGATATTTTATATGGTTAGCATATGGAGGATAGATGTGGAAGGTAGTTAGAAGTATACTTACCTGGCTAAAGCCCAACACCGCGTCAAACGGCCCTTTCTCGTCTATTACTTTGCGCACAGCGCCATGGGCGGCAGCGACACCAACAGTGCTGGGACTGCGATACCAGCCCAGGTATGGCCCCTCAAAGTTATCTGCCACTTCGGGGGCTGGATCGCACACGGTGGTGCCATCCACAAAAACGAACTCGGTCATCAACACCCGAATCGGGAATCCTCCAAGGCTTCCTCTTACTCCTTTGTTTTCTTTCTTCTTTCTTTCTTCTTTCTTTCTTCTTTTCTTTTCCCTTGTTTATTTATTTTTAATTTGCTTTGTCACTTTTCGTACTTATTCATATCGCATTTGTCAGATCTATCATGCTATTAGAAATCACAGCCTACATACCAGGTAGTAGCCTGGTACCTAGGTACCATTAGAATATTTAGGCCGCCCTTCATCTCGTCTCAATGTCGCCATCCCAACTACCAACAAGTCCATCATTCCCACCATGACCAACACTATCTATCTTATTACTGGCGCCAGCCGCGGTATTGGCCGTGGCCTGACCGAAACATTCCTCGCTCGTTCCAACACCACCGTCATTGCGGCCGTCCGCGGGCCCGTCGGTGCTTCATCCCAGTCCCTGCAATGCCTCCCCAAGGGCGAGTCCTCTCGCCTAATTGTGGTGAAGGTCGACTCTAAGTCCCCCAGTGACCCTGCCGCTGCTGTCGAGACCCTTCAGAGGGAGCACGATATTGACCACCTAGACGTGGTAATCGCCAACGCTGGCATCAGCGAGGATTTCTCGCCTGTGCACGGGGTTTCTATCCCCGTGCTACGCGAGCACGTCGAGGTCAATGGCTACGGGCCTATCTACCTCTACCAGGCGGTCTATCCGTTGCTTAAGAAAAGTAAGAGGCCCTCGTTTGTGGGAGTCGGTAGTCCGCTAGGCAGCATCGGCGGCATGGAGCAGCGCCCGTACCCATGTGCGGCATACGGCCCTAGTAAGGCCATCCTACACTGGATCGTGCGCAAGATCCATTTTGAGAACGAGGACTTCGTGAGTTTTGTTGCGGATCCTGGGTAAGTGCCTACTCTTTTTGAATAGTCGTTGTGTTACAGACATATTAATGAATACACAGCTTCCCTCAGACCGATATGGGCAATGCCGGCGCCCAGGCCGTCGGCCTTGAGAAAGCCTTCCAGACGGTCGAGGAGAGCGTCAGCGGTATCGTGAAGGCGATCGACGAAGGGACGAGGGAGTCGGTTGGTGCGCAGCTGCGCGTGTGGGATGGATCCCAGTTCCCCTGGTAAGGGAGAAGGACTAGAGGAATCTTTACTGCGCCCATGATCTAGATACCTAGGTATCCCTCTCGCTCTTAGCTCGTCTTTTTTTCAACGCATCACACAGAAAAACTGCTTCTCCTGATCTGCCTTTCATCGTATATCCCATCGGAAAGCACAAATAGGACAAATAGAGACAGCAATTCCGAATAGGACGATGAAATCAAATTCTGAAGGTAATTTAGTACACTTCTAGTTATATCAACACACTTTGTCTAGTCTATTCCTCTATGATCGACACATGCGCCCATCGTCGGCCACCGTCCACACATCACTGCCCACGGCACTGTGCGCGTAGAACAGATCCTCCGGCTCGTACTTTTTCCTGATGGTGCGCAAACGGTCACAGTTGGCGCCATAGAAATCGTCCTTCCAGGTTTGCAGCATGAAGTTGGCCTCGTTGAGGTAGCCACTGCCGCCCGGGGTAAGCCTGCGCAATTGCGGCTCCAGCTTGTTGGTCAGCTGTAGCTCGCGTTCGACTCCGACGGAGCGAGACAGGGTGAAATTCCAGACCGAAGGCATGATAAGCGACACCGCTGTGTCAGGCCAGGCGGGGAGCACCACATTGAACGCTACCGGACTTCTGGACACCGTGATGGAGAGATTGGCCTCGAAGCCGACAATGTAGAAGGGGTGACGATCCAGGCTAGTGTATTCTGCCCACCACCACTCGTCACCACCTTCGACCTATGGAGTAGCCACTTCAAGGAATAGAGATGCCTCAAGCGGCACTCCTTCGAAGGGCTGAGGAAATTCATTCTTAGAAGGTCCAACTGTCAACCAATCTGCTTTGTGTATCCATATACCAAAAACAGGTGAGTCCCAGAAGCAGGACCTATCCCGTTCTGCTATCGTCCCAAAGGCGAGTGAGGGACTTGCCCACTCATGCGGAGACACGTCATGCCAAACCCTTTGGAGCTCATTTGAAGCCAGTGGTGCGTGCTAGAAAGATTTTTCGCTGCAGTTATATCAACACTCGCGCGATATTCACAACTTCCATTCTAATTTGAATCCCAAACTTTTGTGGGAACCTACAGTACATTCATCTTTTTGATTGTGGGTTCATATTCACTATGGTTTCACCGGACCATCCGAAAAGAAAGTTTTACGTCATTTATAGGGGGCGTGTTGACAAACCGACCATATATTCTTCTTGGTAACTATGAGTCAGCTGTAGCACTAGTAACTATTCGGTTTGCTAATTGCTGGTCCACCTAGGGGTCAGGTACATCCTAGAGTGACAGGTTTCGATGGCGCAGACCATGAAGATTTTGACAGTCTTAAAGATGCGCGGAGTTCAATGAAACCAAGGATTTGGAGAATTTGACGAAGTTCTCAAATGTGAGGCAGGGGGCGCAGTTACGCCGCAGCCTCGAGGAAAGTATTAGCATAAAAAGAATGGCCACGGTATTGGCATTTTCAGAGATTGGAGGTACGCATTTTGCTAGAGCAAATTAGAGAGAAAGAGATAACTTACACGATGAAGACCGGCGGAGAAGTCAGTCAGCGGATATAGTTACGCATGTCACCAGCGTTTTGATACCGAACGCGAGGCTAGAGTATTTATTGAAGATTGGAACGATGCATACGCTGATATATGGCGATGGGAAATTAGGAAAGGGTTACACAATGGATGGAAGGCAAAGAGCCTCAGGTTGTATCCCGCATCGGTCTTGGTCAAGATGGAAAACGAAGGGGATATGGATGAAAGCTTGGTCTCGAATCTGAAGCGGTTGGATGTGAAGGAGGAGACCGAAGAGTAAATCACTCCACAGAGACGCTCAAGATATCAGTATCGAAGTGAGAAGAACCTTATAATGTAAGAGTGTAAAAGATGACATTCAGGAGGATATGCTTTCTCTAAACGAGATTCAGTGCCCTGCAAGGATATGTAAGATTCAGGGAGTCAAAGGTAAAATAATCGCACTCGTACTGAAGAACAGCCAAGACATATTGTCAATAGTGAGACGGGCGAAGCATGTGGGCGGGCAGATTTTCCGAGTTCCAAGTGATTCACGTACCATTGGAACTTATGTTAGTAATGTCGAACTATTTTACAGTGACATCTCTTTCAGCATGAAGGGTCTGTAGGCAGTCGCCGGTGCTGACATCCCATGCCTTGATACCATTTTCTAATATGACGGTTTCATCGACCGAAGCCAAGGCGAGGAGCTTAGAATCATGGGAGAAGACGACCAAGTGAACCCAGTCGCCATGGCCCTCGAGGGTCTGGAGGCAATGCCCGCTGCTGGCATCCCACATCTCAACACTGCGATCGTATGACGCCGAGGCGAGGAGCTTGGAACCATGGGAGAAGGTGACCGAGTTGACCGAGCCGCTATGGCCCACGAGGGTCTGGACACAGGCGCTCCAACCGTCCTCCATTGTAGGCTTTCTAATTATCCATGCTGGCTCTTGTGTTCCAAATTGAATCGTGGTTATGCTCCCGGCTGGGCTAAAGACTAGTCCTGAAGCGTACACTTGAAGTAGATAATTCTCGATTGCTATTCTATGGAATAGTATAAATCGGCAAGCATCTTGAGCTCTATCAAGTAGCTGTGGGCTCTCCGCTATGTCTAAAATAATATGTTAAAATAGTTCGTTGGTCACAATAGTGGAAACAGACCTTCAGCAAACTCTCGAGCCTTAGTACCGAAGCTACTCCTTCTGATAAGCTTCTGATAGGCTGAGAGCCTCGAGCTAATAAAGGAAGTCATTTTGGAAGAAAATGCCAACTAGGCCAGTATCCTGGAGGTCTTCGATCGCGTTTTTGCTAGAAGAACACCCATTTAGTTGATCCACCCAGTAGACACGCGTACCGTATTGTGGCTAGCGGGTCTCGATCTGGCTGGTTGATCTAGCCGATCGAATATCCAGGATGGACCAGGTTATAGATGTCACGTTGCAGTGTTCTGGAAATGGCTCGCAATGATTTCGAGAAGATGGAATAGTGTACCTTTTCTACTCCGTCAGGAAAGATCCCATAAAATGCTTCCTGAAGAAGAGAGTTCTCGGCTGACTGATGAACCAAGGAGATTGTGCGTCCTCGGAGCGTCAAGAAAGAGCCATAAAGATCTATGATCTCTGGTAGATCGTCTTCGGCGTCCTCAGGTAGGTCGATACAAGAGGCTAACTCGTCCAACGTGATACAGCGGAAACCGGTAGTGGTAATGCTGAGAAGCGACTTGCAGAGGCAAGCATTATCCGATTCGCTCAGTTGGTTGAACATTCGCCTATAAAGCTCCTCAATACCAGGCGGAAAATTCTCCAATTTCTTCTCTACATTTCTCCTCGGGACATCCGCGAGTTCCTTGCAGACCAAGGCTACCAGAGGAAGGTTCCATTTGCCTTTGACGTCAGGCAATGCTGGACACAGCATCCCGTATTTTGGGGCTGTACTCGTTCTTTTTCGCCAACTCGTTTAACTTGTGCTGTATGAATGAGCCAACAGCAGCCGACAGTGCCCTCGTTCAACTCCAGGAGCTTTATTTGCGTCGGGCCATTGAGGTCACTTTTAATGCTGGGCCGGTTACGGCTAGAGACAATCCATTTAACGTGCGAATAAGCTGATGACTGCTTGACGAGAAGACGAAGCAGTCGGCCAAAGTCTGTAGTGCACTCGTCAAGTGCATCCATGATCAGGTAAGTGCTCTGTAGGTGCGGGTCCTCGAGAATATTGGTGAAAGCTCTGAGTAAGGCGGACCATACATTCTCATACTCGGAGGAGCCGTCGTAACGAATATGGATGATGAGTGAGGGTTGTTGCTGCACAATCTTAAATATAAGTCCCCGCAAAACTGCTGTCGCATTATTGATACGACTGTTGGTCGCCTGGCAGAAAAAGAATGAGATGTTGATGCCATAGATGGCCATCTTAGATAGCTCATCAATATTCCGCAGAGCAACATGGTCTTACCCTTGCCAGGGTCACCCTTGATCCAGAGACGTTGACCGCATCTCGCATCTCGCCACTTCTGAAAATGGATATGGTCGAGCACCCAGCTATATACGTCTCTGAGAAGACCACCCTTGTCTTCCTCAATTCGGGCTTTGTCAAGGCTAGGATCGGTGGCCCGTAGAGTGTCTTGGAGGCGTCGGTCCTCAGCGTTAGATAGGCGTTGCTCAATCTTTTCTAGTTCCGGTTGCGCTTGGAAGGTAAAGCCGTCGTTAGTCAACCTGACCTGGATCTATTTTAAGGGTCTTAGGAAACTCACCTGACGGACGATATATTGGCCCTTAGTTGATCCCTACCTGGAACCCTGAACTTGCGTAGCCGAATGATATAAAGGTCATATTCAGCACGCCATGTACACCGTATGGTTCTCTCGCAGTTTGCCATTGTAATCCAAAACTTTCATTGCTACAGGGATTGGCTCGATTTGGTTGCCTGGATCGACGTAGCTTGCATGATGTGACATGGAGTTCGTTCCTTTCCGTCCAATAAAAAATCGCGAAGTCGTTCGATGATATTGCCGCAGTGCACTAAATGCAGACCCCACTGATGACATAAAAATACACGGCCACCAGCTTCTACTACCTTTTATAGCATGAAAACCTCGTGTAAAAGTGGAAAAGTTGAAGTTGTAATAATAACAACAACTGCGTGGCCGTGATATCTGTGCAATTGTGTGGGCTACCACAAGACAAGGGATTTAGTTCCTGATTGGTGATGATGGGCAGAAACAATATTGGTCAACACAGCAGTGTCTAAATGGAGGCTATCCCATCACACGGAAAATTATGACACTGCACAGGCTGTGTAAAAGATGCGTGGAGGTGACCGCTGGAATAGTTTCACTTATAACCATACTCGCCATGCGCCGTTAGATTATTTTAAACACCCTGTTTCATGACCATCAAAAGTTTTATGTCGGACAACACGACCGAATATGTATCGATACGACTGTTATCATAAATCCCTTATTAGACGACTTGGTTGATGAATCATTTTAAACACAAGTTGCTTGCTCCCAAAAAAGCCGTTGTAGACCATGTGGTTCTCCTTTTCCTCTATGAAACCCCTCCGAAGAACGTACCGAATGGCTAAAATGGCAATTTGCGAGATTGATTCACATTGCTTTGATTTGTGGCACAATGAGAGCGCAAAGAGTGGAATTTCAAAACCAGCGGTGGTCACTGACTGACGTTCCGGCTAACTCGTACTTGGAAGGATGATGTTGCCGCAGCCACACTGCAGACCACACGGCAGCCAGGGAGGTTATATGCACCAGGAACGACTGAGATCGGTCAAAATCGTTGATGGCGACTCTCAGAATTGTCTGGCTGATGTAAGTGAGGACAATCACGGCCGTTAGGAAGCTTCGAAGTCGAGTTTGGCGCTTGGGGTGATATTTTCTCCCTTTTTTTGGCTTGATAGCCGCTGGATAGTAAACAGGCCACAAGGCATAGAGCGGCTATCAAAGCGCAGCAGTAATTCAAAGCCTGAGATGCGTGGCCATGGTGAACAGGAGATGGAGCCGGATGAGTGGAACTCCCTTTGCAGGGCGTTGCTACTTGTATTCCAGATTTTGCCCTAAATATTCACATCCTACCCATCTAACCCAAAGCAAACACCGGGCTCTGCCTAAGCATCAGACTGCTTATTGGACCTCTACTGTCCAGGGATACTGTGCCTATCATCTATAAAAGAAATTATACATTTAATATTCCTAAACATCAATCGGACGGTTTCACTATCTTTGGCAACAGGCTCCAACTTATAGCCATAGCCCCATATAGAGCAAGGCAGATAGGATGAAGTACCATTGTGCCCACATTCTGCGCTAGGATACCAGTGAGGAATGGAAATACTGCTCCGCCGCTACTGCCAAGCGCACTGATAAAACTCAAGCTTGACAGCTGTATTCTCCGGGGGAGCAACTTAGCAAAGACTGCTGTAGCACATGGAAAGACGGCTCCCAGCAATACACCCAAAATTGCCACAGCCACGGCTTCACCGACAATGTTTGGAATAAGCCAAACCATCAGCTGAAACAGAACGGCCCCTGCGACCATTAACGCAACAGATATCTTTTCTCCAAACCGATGAGCCGGATATACTAGCAGAAACCGCCCTAGGGTTATTCCGGCCCAGAATCCGGCGCTCACATAGCCAACGTGAGATGGATTGCCTCCTCGATAGTCGATCAGAAAGGACACTACCCACCCCGATACTGATACCTCTGCTCCTTGATAGACGAATATAAAGAGAGACCCAAAAATTGTGGTGCGGCTTCGAAGGGCCATTTTCAAGACTTGAATGCGACTGTTAGGCTCGTTGTTGACTGTTGAAGATGATGTAGACTGTGCCGCACTTCTTAACGGACTGCTAACTTCGAATTCGGCAAAAGCCCACAGCGATAGTGCAAGGTTGGCCACAGAAACTGCCATTGCAATAGTATAGAATAAAGACCATCGGATATCTTTAGAGACCATTACGGTCGCTATCAGTGGTGAAATAACGCCCCCAATGCCATAGGAACCCGCGAAGCAACCAAGGGCAGTCGTGGAGTCTGGAAGATTGGCACAAAAGACATTGTTGAGGGCAATACTCAGGGCCATGCCGAATCCGAGCAAGAAGAATGCAGTGACAATGACTGGAAATGGAGGATGACAGACAATGATCGTGTAGCCAGTGATAAGAAGACCCATTGATAAAGCATAAGTTCCACGACGACCCAAGGCTTTATCGATGGTATGTGTGAGAGGCGCAGCGATGATGAACCCAAGGGCGTTGGAAATGAAGAATAGTGACACAATTGCATAGCCAATCCCATAGTCTGTCTCGACGTACGGAATCAGTGCTCCAGGAGCACTGTCATTCATACCATTGCCGAAGTTCATGAGGCATGCGCTAGCTAGCTGCCATTTAGCTTTCCAAGGTAAATTGGATCGGTCCGTGACTCCCTCTGTTGCTTCGTTATCCCAGTCCTCTCGAGTTGCTGGGGAAGAATTTCTCGGTTCATGAAGCGGAAAATCCGCCCTGCTAACGGTTGTTGCTGTTGTTTGGCTAGGTGCGTCCAGACCTGGCTCTTCCCGTAGATCATCCCCGGTTTTGTAGATGGTAGATGCCTCAGCATTTCTCGTATCTTCATGATTGTACACTGTAAGAGCCGGGACCTGAAGGGGGAGGTGCGTACGGAGGGAAGTGCTGGACATGTTGGGAGAGGGAAAAGGAGAAATTCACAAAAGTAGAATCCGGGTTGTTCGCAAGCCAAACGGCCAATTGATTTATAGATGAGACGTGGAAAGAAGACTCATAGTGTATTTCAAATCAGCAGACCATTGACGCAGTCTCATTGGTCCTGCCGAGGTGCCCAGGTGGTGTTAGTTACTTACAAATCAGGATGATCATCTCCGGACGGGAGATGAACTCCATGAGCTCCAAGTCCTGCGATAGTCGAATTTTATCCGCACCCCATCATCTACTTTCAATTAACTGTACATATCAATCGTGTACAACCCCCTTCTCCCTCTCCGTTTAGTCAACGTGAGAGTGGTATCGAGCCCACGCGTAACTCTGATCCACACCCTCTCAGATTTCTACAGCTGTGTGAGTGGCAAGATGGAAAAACCTACGACGACGACCCGCCATCATGTATCCACTATCGTATAGAGTGGCGAGTGACGGTCAATAATAGGGAGGTATCAGCAGACACGGATGAAGATGCCGTTTTGGCACCTATGCCTTCTGGCAGCTGTCATTGGAGAAAAAGCTAGAAAAAGCTTTGCGACGAAAGACTGCCCGCCATCGCCGGTTGAGACCTGATGATACAGTGATCGTCGCATCAACAAGCGATCGTACCAAACGCAAACTGACAAAGATATTTGACGATACTGAAATAAATTGGACTGTCATTGAGAAGCAGCTTTTGATGTGGTCAGATGTCTTCTCCCGCGGTAAGGAGCTTACGGTGAAGATCAGTTTCAACTACATAAACGATCGCTCTTCCCCACCCGTTGGTCAAAGGGGAGACAAAGGGGGAAATCATCTGTCACGCAGAGACTTTGCGAACGAGAAGCACAACTCCATGCGGAGGAGAGTGCTTCGGGTGAAAAACCAATTTGGAGCACCGTCTATAGGCTGATGCGATGCGATTCATCGACATGTCAGCATGGCCCTCATTGCTGGGTAGACCCAATAGGGAAAAGGCACTATCCACTTAAATCTCATCATATCAAACGCCTGATATCCCACGTTGAAGAGGGGGGATTTTGGAGAGTCACAAAGACGTGCCCGAGGCTGTACGTGACGAATTATACAGGGAGGAAGAACAGAAGTTGGAGAAAAGCAAGCGTAAAGGAGGTCAGACCGTTGCGACCGGAGCGCCGTATCCTCCTATCGACATCAATGTCCTGCCCTCGCAGTCTACGGCCCATGAGATTGATCTGTCGGCCCCTAAAGCACCAGGTGAATGCCAGGCTCTCAGTCCACTCGACATTCCTGGACCTAGAGACTTAGCCGTCGACGAATACGGTGAGTGGCAGATGTCGAAAGTCGACAATGAAACCCTCAAGCATGCATTTCGAGAAGTGTGTGACGTGACGCTGGAGAACGGTCTTGATCTTGAGCAAGTGTACAAAGATCAAGATCCCAAGTTCTTCATTGAGAAAGGAGTCAGAATAGGTATCGCTCGGCGTTTCGTAGAGGATATTGGAAAGTGGGTTAAGAACGTGAAGAAAGCGGTGTCTGTTTGCGAGACTCTTTAGTCCGAGTAGAGTTTGGTTAGTGCATCCTGGCGTTACCTGGAGTCGTTTTCACTTACAACTCAATTAAATAATGTGGCTCCTAATTGTTACTATACACCACGATTCTTATCCCAGGGAGCTGATTATATATTAGTTTCATTGCAATATAATTGCTCTTTATTTTTCCAAGGCCCGAATTGGTAAAGGGCTCTGGGAAACATGGTAATGGGTCCTAGGAAGTGGCATCAATAATGAGGTGAACATAGGATACGGCTTCGTACGGCTATTGTGAAGGATAGGTAACCAATACCCTGGGCATTCGGAAGTTGAGAGCCTCAGCGACTTGACTTGTCCACTCCCCTCAGTTATGAGGACGGGTGGGGCAGGTGGCACTGTTTATTTAATTGACCGAGGCCCACCTATAGTACACACCCAGCCAATCACTGTGCAATTGTGGACAATCATGTCGCTTTTTTTTATCTTTTGATGCCAACTCTTTCTTCCTCTCATGTCTCTCACACAAATCTCAATTGGCTCCTTAATATTGATAAATAACTCAACCCTCAAGGATGGACATCCTAGCCTTGGCGTTCGCAGAGCCCCGAAATCGCCATGCTGCGATTCAACAACCGCCTCACTGCCTCTATTGTCGCGAACGTACGAGAGAAATCACAATTTTTCCCTTGGAATGACAACGGCAATGCTGATCGCCCATATGTATTATACCGGTTTTTCTTGTGGAGAATTTACCTGCTTCGGAGATATACGGGGCTTTTGGCAGAGAATCATTTTAGACGAGGTTTGCAGCGAAAACAGTGTAGCTAAGACAGGATCCAATTGGCTTCGAGAGCGACTCTTGGGGATAAAGTGTTGATCCATGATTATTATAAAGGAGTAAAATAAATCAAAACGGCCCTTGCCTGAAACTCCGCCCCGACTGATATCTGCTACAAGAAAGAACGCGTAAACGCGATCAAACATTGTCAGAATATTTACGCGCCTATGGAACCCTTAATAAAATTTTGTATTCGGCGGGAGTCCCTCAGCCTGGTCATCTCTCTGCATCCGTTAGTTAGCACACTAAATGCTTCCAACGTAGACAGCAACGGAACCCATACCAGTGCTTCCGCAAATCCCTTAACAAGCGCAATTTCGTAGTCACAGCGGGCCAGCTGTTCAGGTCCAAAGTCGGTGAAGGTCGTTGCAACATCAAAGTCAATCCAGACCAGCCTATCGGGGTTTCCACGGACAAGGAGAAGGTTTCTGGGGTAGATGTCTTGGTGGTGAACACCCGCCCTGTGTATCTCCTGCATGCCCTCAATTGCCTGGGGATAGAGCGCGGCCGAGTAGTTCACGCAGTTCAAACTCTCTGCATTTGGGAGATATTCTAGCAATATTGCTCTCGGCTTTAGCTTGTCTCGGGCGAAATGTTGAAAAGCAGGATGAAATGCTGCGGGATCCATTCGATCGATGTAGCCGTAGAATTTTGGCACGAAACCGCGCGCACAGACACTAGAAGTGAGAAGCTTCTTATAAGCATTTAATTCGCAGCGAAATCGGTTCAAATCACGACCTTTTTCGGTATATCCAGGGTCGCCGTTGTCGTGGAAAAGCTTTAATGCATACTTTTGTCCATCCAGATCTACCTCGAATATTGCAGACGCATCAGAGCACGTAATCTGCCTGATAATATGAATTTCGGAGGGGTCCATGTTCGTTAAGGAAGCGCTTCTTAGGTGCATTGTTGTCCTGTGGGAAGTCATATTTCCACTAGCGGGATTACGTAAGCTAAATCATTTGCTAGTTATGGATCGCGTGGGGTCTAACCGCCGGATCTTGCGAATCAGATCCACTATATTGCCGCTGGTAGGGAATCTCAGAGTGGGACGGTTTTAGTGGCTGCATGTAAGCGCCCACTTAGACTCTGAAACGAGGACGCGGGTGCTTTAGGTCCTATCGATCATGGTCCTGATCTAGCGTTCTAATGAGCGCTTTCTTTCAAGACCACTTGAACCACTAAATTCTAAGGTTCTCTCGGGGTTGCACTAATCGCTTTCTTTCACTCTGCTCTTACCAAGATATGCACCTCAAATGAGCGCTTACTAGTGCAATCACACTAATTAACCTACGTTGTAACCCCTCGCCATTGCTTCCCTATCAGATGTAACTGTAATCTTGGAACGGACTCGTTCCCTATATATATCCAATTACTTTTCTCCCAAGCCTTTCATTTCGTTTCTCTATCCCCATTCCTCCTGCCTATATCGACGATCAGCTACAAGTAGGTATCCACTACAATATGAGCAACTAGTCTCTTCTATAGTATCTCTCCGTTGCCCTTCCGGCAATCCCTATTCAAGGTACTGCCCCATCGCGGAATATAACGAACCCCCGCTATGGTGCGGGAGACATCACCCAGGTCGTCGATTGGCCAGAGTTCAATTATGCAACGATTATTCGACGATACGGCGGCATTTTGAACTTAAAGCAAATTGTATCCGATCCCTTCAGATCCCCTCCTGCCGCTATCAGGGATGAACCTCATTTTCACCTTCGACTTGCCGAGCTGCTTCAACCCCGTGTTAGACGCGCACTTCGAGCCGGGTTCGAGGAACTAGCACCCCGGCTCCAGCAACTAAGCCTTGTGCCGATCACATTTGACGGTGGAGGCTCGGCAGCGTACGTCGACCAGTTTCGACCAGACACTGCCTTCATCACCGTGGGGGGCCACCTACGCGGACAGCACGAACCGAGCCCCAGGAGACATGAAGGTCTCGTGGAAATGGCGTTCTGACTACCGGCATTCGCAGAACCCCTTCTTTCAAGAACAATACAAGCAGGTCCTGTCGCAGGTGAATTTCTATATGGGCCAACACAAAGCGCGCCATGGATTTGTGCTTACCGACACCGAGCTGGTTGGGGTCAAACGTCTCGATACAAACGGCCGTTTAGCTGTCTCTTTGGCAATCCCCTGGACAGCTGGAGGCCATGGTCAGCTCACTGTGCTGATGGGCATATGGTATCTAGGGATGCTTGCAGCCGAAGGAACCAACTGGACCCTGTAACCCAGCTACGTGTTTTCTCATCTATTAGGCATAGTCAATATCAATTTGGAGGTTTCACCTGTCCTCCTTTAGTTTCTACTTTTCGGTCTTGTTCGCGGAATAAACAGTTATATATATATATATATAAATAAAGTAGTGGAGAGTTGCAACCATCTTCACTCTTCAATTGTTTCCCCAAAGCTGCTACTAGTTCGTCTTGGAAGATTTTCCGTCGTACCTTGCTAGTGGGGCTTGTATTGTTTTTTACAGAGAGGTACAGTGACGGTGCATAAGTTTGAGCACCCCTATTCTGCCTGCCCTAATCCCACCAATCTAAGACCTAAAATTAAGGTCGGTGTGACTATTTAAGACTATTTAAGTAGGCGGTGTAACTTTCTAGGGAGGCGGTAGCGGAAAGGGGTGCTCAAACTTATGCACCGTCACTGTACGTTCTTTGTCTTCCACTTATGTGGCGCATATATCTTCCCCGCAATCAAACTCAACATGTCCGGTGTTTAAGCGCCAAAATTTTCGATTTCCAAGCCCGCATGACGAAAATGGCCCTAGGCACTCTCTTCTTTTGCGCCAACCACATCGATACACCATTCAAGAAAGATGTCAAACCTTTGCTCGGGGTCGTTCTCATAGTGACTCCAATGACGTCTTATAAAACTTTTGAGCTCAGCAAAATACTCTTCGATCGGATTGAGGTCTGGCGAAGATGGCGGCAGATAAAGCAGTTTCACTCCAGCATCTGCACACATCTGTGCAATCTGCTCTGAATGATGGAAGGACGCATTGTCCATCACCAGAACAGATTTACGTTCCGGCCATCTGCCGCAACGATGGAGGAGCTGAGCTATGAAATTTTCGAAGACGACGGCATCCGTGGTACCGCGGAATACACGCGAGAGAATTATCCCATCCTGAGCATACGCAGGCAGTATCTGATATCGCTGGTCGCGTCGAAACTGTGTTACTTGCAAATCAGCTCTACCAAGAGGTCGCCCAACCGGTGCACCTGAACCCAACCCGTTTATCACAGCCGGATTCATCAACATATACCAGGTGATATGACTGAAACTCGGACAGGTTGTGGAGGTAATAGTCTCTCAAGTCCGCGTTCTGCTCCTTAGCACGCTGCCGCGCTGCCTTCTTGGACCCACCCGTCGCTACAAGGGCCCTTCTAATGCTGGAGATTGTGACCATGGTCTGAAACTCATCCCACAGGAACGCAGCCATTTCATCGAGGTAGAGACCAGGCTTCTCAGAAAGATGGTCACAAAGAGCTTTTATCATCAGCGGTGTCACGGTTCGCTTTCGGCCGACTCGGGTTTGGGGGGCATAGATAGTTCCAAATTGGCGTAAGTTATTCTGCGAATATTAATGATCGTAAGCTGGTACATTCAGCTTCTTCGGCCATTTGAGACGTGGTAAAGGACTGGTTTTCTATCATATCACGAATCAGATGACGTTTCTAAGTAGAAAGCCTAGGAGCCATGTCGTTTCGTCTGATTTTAGATACTGAAATCTCGCAGATAGGCGAGTGGTTGCGGAGGTTATTTGGATGGAGGGGCACTCCAGGTAGCATGCGTATAGCACTTGCGTGTAAAATACACCGAGTGTCTTACTACTGCCTTGTAAGACACAACCACCAGTCTAGAAAGCGGTCTGAAGTGCGGGGCCTTCATCGCCTACCCAATCAGGACTCACGTCCGTCGGATTTATTTTCCGGGAATCAAGTCTCAAGAGTGTGAAGGTATAACTGAATTCGAATACTACTGTATTCTTTGTGCGGAGACTAATTCTTGCTAAGTCCAAGTTTCCCGGGGAGGCACTCTTGTATCTCTTCGTCCCTGAATCGTGTCCGTCAAGATGATGTGTTCAGCTAGCTTCCGAGTCCTCTTTCGGACATTGGCAGTTGTCAGGATGATCACATGGTCAATCCTTGGCAACCCTCAAAGAAGCTCGAGACAAAGAAGTTAAAATATACATCTAGATCCTGGTTCCGCCTCCATAGTGTTATGGACGTGCTAGTTACCAATTGATGGTAACCCCACATGTTGCACGGACGGGCCGTCGAGAGCTAATCGACTAATCGACCTACCCTCGAGCACGTTCTTCGTTTCTGCGCTCGCAGAAGGGCTGTCCAAATCGGGTGATAACGAGGCCGTGTGAAGTCTGGCAATGGTGCGCTGTGCTTGGTGGCGGAGATGAAGATGCGTGGGAAGTACGTGGGATTCCACTTCCAGCGTTGCGGTCGCTACCGTCCTGAATGCCGACAGGATGCGGATCAGGGGCGTTCTCTGTACTGTGTTCAAGTGGGCAGGTGCGTCTTGTCCCGAAGCGGATCGTGCCAAACCGTCGATGCGTAGTCTACCACGGGTGTGACACAAGCTTGGTAGAGTTGTCTCACTACTCTGGACGTTGATGTCGCAGTCCGCACAATGCGATGGTTGCTTTGGTTGCTCGTTTGACAGCCTGCTGTACATGATCTTTCCCCCGCAGCCCCTGGTCAGACACCACTCCTAGTAGCTTGGCCGTGGCCGAAGGCCGGACGACCGTCCCATTCACGACGATCCGTCCTTCCAAGTGCTCTCTTTTCTTCCTGGTGAGGTGGATGAGCTCGGTTTTCTCGGCTGCAAAGCAGGAGCCGGTCTGCCACGCCCATTCCTCGATGCGGGGGATATCGTCGGTCTGGATCTTGGCCAGGTTTCAATGGATGCTGAGGCGCCCCCATGGTAATCTACAGGTTGATCGACGAGGTCGACGTTGAAGAATGCGAACAAAATAGAGGGCAGCGGCGACCCTTGTGCCAGCCCAGCATTTGCGAGCGGGTTCATCGAGGTGCGGAAGTCGTCAAATCCAATGCTCGTGTGGCGGTTACTCATGAAGCTTGCAATCCATTTTCTTGCGATCGTGGGGATCCTTCGCGTGTGCAGGCAGGAATCCAAGCTAGTCTTGTTCACCCCGTTGAAAGCACCCTTAAGGTCAGACGAGACGAGGGTCACCACTTTGTGTTTGTACCACGCACGGTCAATTGCGTTGGAGAGGACTAGCAGGGCCTGCTCGGTCGTCCTCCCCGGGCGTCCGCCAAACCGGCTGTTCGGAAGTAGCCCGTGCTTTTCTGCCAAGAAGGACAGGGGTCGGGCCACTACTGCCTCCAGAAGTCTACCGAGCCTGTTCAGCAGTGAGATTGGGCGGTAGGCTCCAGGGGTCGAGTAATCTGGCTTCGCCGGTTTCCGCAGTACCACGATTTTCGCGCTTCGCCATTGCTTTAGATGATGACGATGCGGTAAAGACACTGGTGATGATGCCTTTCAAGTGGCTCCATAACTTGTTCCACCCTAGCATCGGCAGACCATCTCCTCCGGTTGCGGTGGTTCATTTGGCCGCGTTGAGCGCTCGTTGAATTTCGAGCTCGGTGATCAGCTGCCACGGGAGTTCCAGCTCTGTCGCATCTGGTGGACGTGGGTCGGGCGCGTTCATTTCAGGGAAGAACGAGTCAAGAAACGCTTATGCCTTGTCTTCATTATCGGTCAGCTGCGCTGCCTCGACCTGCAGTGGGGGGAGACACCCCCCGGCTTCTCGAGGTTTCATATAAGTTGCGGCTTTCCAGAGCTTGCCTTCGCCCGCTTCATTGAGAAACTGTTTCCAATGAGATGCTTTCGCTTTCTCAATCTTCCGAGTCCGCGCCCGTCGTTTCCGTTGCATGTCCAGAAACGCGGCCATAGAGCTCGGGTGATGTCGTCCAAGCTCGGTGCAGCTCGTCTCCTGCCATCTTCTAGGAACTTGGTTGGCTTCGACCTTTTGAGCTTTGATGTCCGGCGTAAACCACCGTTAGCATATGGCGATGGTCGTGAGTTTGGTGTGAACTGGTCGACGGCACGAGCTGTTACTTCCATAAGCCTCTCCAGGATTACGTCAAGTACTAGTCGGGTTCTGATTTCCCTTCCACGGACTCATTTGTTAGGTTACTCGCTCGCCGACTTTGGCCCAATCTGCCCCGTTATACACTTTCCTCACTTTGGTGGTGGGTTGGCCCGAGCTTGCAGGTTCCATTCGGAGTATGTCGCCCGGTGGTCAGATCCATAGTTCTCGGATACAGGTGACACTTGACGAGCAGGTCCGGGTTGTCAGTCACGGTCTGGTCGATGGCGGAGTTCTGTCCTAGGTCGTTCAGGGCCCAGTAAGTTGCTGTCCCACGAGGAAGGCAGCTATGAAGACTGTTGTTTTGGAAGAAGGCGATCAGGTCGCTGGCGTCTTCGATGAAGCGGGTTGATATATGATTGCCGCCCCACAGGAGGCGACGGAAAAAAAAAAGAAAGAAAGGTTGAAATCTCCCGATAGGATGATACTGGTGGTTCGTCGGTTGTCTTGCAGCGTGGAGGTAATGGTGTTCTGGATCGCTGTGAGCGCCGGCTCCGCCGATGTGTTGTCGCCCGAGTACAGCGGGACCGAGGGTAGGTAGACGGAGAAGAGTAGAATTTCGGAGTCGGGAGTCAGATCTTGGCGGCTGCGACGTCTGGGTGGTCGCAGGGTGCCTGGTGATGTGAAGCAGTAGACACGCGTCGATTCACGTAAACCAGACTGCGGAACTGGGTTGCGTCGGTCTCGGCTGTAGGCCGGTAAAGTCGCCAGGCGCTGTGGTTGATATACATGCAGTAGGTAGTGATGGGTGGCTCTTGGATCAGAAGGATATCCAGTCTTGGCTTTGGTGGTCGTTGATGAGTGCTTCCATTCTTGGTCCTGATTTCATGATGTTCAACTGGAGGATGCGTAGGTTGCTCTCTAGCATCGGCTGGGGTTACGGGTCGCGGGGGATGGAGATTGTGGTGGACATCGCTTGCCGTTCGTGTTGTCCTGTACAGTGCCCACATGACCATGCTAGGTGTCCGAATTGTTGACACCGGAAGCATCTCTTTTTCCTGATCTCGCGTCGTTCCACGCTGTCGATATACCGTTGGCCAACAACGAAGCCGTGATTGAGGATGTGTCCTGTTCCCTCCACAGAGTCGAACCAGATTCTCAGCGAGGCAAATTTCCCTAGCGCCTTATCTGCCCTCTTGAGCCATGCCACCTCCTCGATGCGGTAGCCCCGTTCCGTAAGGTTGTTGTCTTCTACGATGTTCTCCATTGCCTGGATGCTGTCGGTTTCCAGGTTGAGTTTCTCTGTGGGGGTCCGATGCACTACCACACCGAATCGTGGCTCCACCGGTTTCGTGTTGTTGCCCAGTTTCTCCAGCAATTCAGTGTCGCTGCGGGCCATTTTAGCCGATTCCGCGTCCTTGAATCGAATGACGTAGCCTGTGTTGGTGGTAACAACCCCGGCTACCTGGGCATCTTGTGTCGAGGCAGCGTTCATTACTGCCGTGCTGATCTGAGTGTAGACAGCTTCGATTGAAAGATATCGTGCAAAGGTGTTTCCGTTGGTGTTTCCATTATCCCTTGCGTCTATGAATGTCCTTTGGGTGCTGATTCGGACGCAGTTCTGTTCTTTCTCGGGCCGTTCCGGAGCCGTTTGGGACAACACTCTGCTGCCACTTGCCACGACTTCGGCCCAGGATCTGGCTGGGGCTGTCAGCGCAGCGTCTTGAATTTGTGCTCGCAAAGCCTTGAGTTCCTCGTGAAGCTTATCGTTCTGTTCCTGGAGGACATGCTGGTTATGTTTAACTTCCTTAAGCTCGTTCTGGGTGGCTTCAATCGCTGCGGTTTGATAGCGAATGACGTCTTTCAAGGAGCCGATGAGTTTCCACACCTCCTTGGTGGCCATTCGACCCGCCGGGTCCGACGGTGTGAAAGCATCGCCACTTCGGGTTCGTTTCCGGTTCTTGTTCAGCAAGCTGGCCGTATCGATAGTTGTTCGGGCTTGGAGGTCGTACCCCGCGAAGCTGCTGATGGTTTCTAGGGTGTTTGTGGGATGGGGCTCGGGCCCTCCCGCATGTGGGTCCGCCATCGATCTGGGGTTAGTTCCCGCTCGGTAAACAACACAGCAGTTTTATATCGCCGTAATATCAACCGCAACGTCTCGGTCCACCGAATCTGAGCTGATCGGCCAGACAAAAATAAGGATCCATTTTATACAAGGAGAATCGAAATCAGTTTCACCACTTGCACGCAGAGATTCTTTCTCTCACCCTATCGCAAAACACGCTATACCTATTATGGTTACTCTGCCCCTGCACCCATGTCTTGGCAGTATTTCAGTACAGTCGTAAATAACAGGCTGAAAGTACCTTCTGTATTAGACTCATAACGTCTTTTGGATTTCTAGAATGTTCATGCAGCAGACAAGCCAAACAAACGGATGCCTGCTCGTTTGGAGAAATGGCAGCAATTCGATTCCCTATTCTGCCAACTACTTGTCCTCTAGAGAGGCAACTGCGAACGAGGGAGTTGTAAAGAGACAATACTTGAGTGGTTTTTTCTTTGCTTCTTGTGCCAGGCTTAGCTTTTCGCCTGGGGCCTAGCATTTGTAGAATTGACTGGTTGTGATCATGCTGACGTTGGATCTTCTAGAGCCGTGAAACAATGACGATGGCTGCCAATTCGTATGCCATTGACCATCACTTTCAGCCGAATAAACTCTATCGATCGATTGATTGTTTATTGAGTCCGACTTCCTTCACAATGGGTTATTTGCTGCCGATGTTCAAGTCCTTTCCTACAGAGATGTTACCAGACCCGGAGTTTTGGACTCCTTGACCGCGGAAGATGGATTGCGCAGCTAGAAGGCTGCCAGTGGACAGCTCAGACCCATGCCGACCGAGGGTTTCAGTCGTGGTGGAAGACTGCGGCACGTCCACGTATGAAAGAAGCTCCTTGGCACACCCAGCAGCTGCGGCCGCAGCATAATGCTGCCAGGTGTCATTCTTGTGGGAGTCTGCATAGTCAGAGACGCCCCGAATGGCGATGCACGAGTACTCCGTTGCGATGCCCGCCGCTTCCATCTCGAAGCACAAAATATCGCCACTCACCCTCCTATCCACTTCCGCTGCATTTGAGGCGCTTTTCATGACTTGATCTCCAGAGGCAATGAGCCCATAATGAATTTTGGGGATCGGTTCCCGAGGTTGACGAGGTTGACGATGGACCAGTTTTGCCTTGTCGCATTGCTGACAGGTTGCTTCGTCAGGAACATGAGGATATTCCGACTGGAAGAGCTCATCTGCCTCTACAGGGCGCTGATACGAGACTCGAAGGTTGTCGCTTTTCTGAAACATGGCCGACATGAACTCAGGGATCTTGCTTTGCGAAACTCTATGATCGGACCGCATGATACACACAGCGCTTCTCAAAACCTCGGGTGGTGGCCAAAGGAATCCTTTCAGGATTATACCATCGTCCGTGTTCTTACCCAAGTCGTACTGGACTACACCGCTATGCTGACCGTCGGGCATACTCACGACAACGTCGCCCAAGCGGATATCATCCTTCCCACTCGGCAGGCCTCCCCCGATACCGATCATAAGTCGTAGCTCGATAAACGGGAATGTACGCGCCATGTCCTTCGCGATCGCAGCTCCCGCGCCCTTCCCCTGACTGCCCGGAAGGCTAGCAAGGATCACATTATGGCCGCTGAGCTCCCCGAGGATATACACAGTCGAGTCGCCAAGCTTTCTGGGCAAACGGGTATGCTCTTTGTCCAGCATGTAGCGGACAGCGCTCATCTCAAATTCTAGAGCGCACACGATTCCGATAGTGTACGCTTCGTAACTGAATGCTGCACGACTAGTTAGACTATGGTGTCTCTTGGTTGGGCTGATGTGGCTCATCTACCTTCCATTCTAATTTATTACTTAGATCTAGGCTAATTCAGGACTTCGGGACTTCGGGATGATGTCCCTCGACTGTAATCATGACACGCTGGGAAGCAGCTGCTGTAGTCGACGGGTGGTGGAACTTAAGCCGAAGTTTCGGCTGATGCGGGATATGGAGAAATAAGGCGGTCTGTGCGCAGGTTTCGTGCCCAACGCCCGGTCGAGTTCAGCCTACGCATAGAATTTCTGAAATGGGCTACTGCCTTCGTACTTGACTTTGTCAAAGGAGTTGAAGGAAACCCCTCATGATTGACAGAGTCATGAAGCGCCTGACTACTGAGGAATCACTAGCGGAGGCCAGACCCGTAATGCGACCTGCAGTAGTGGCGGATACCCCTCAATCCTTCTTTCATGGGGATGGATTACAGAACAGCGGAAATGGACATATCACAGTGGGACGGGATGTGAACATAGGTATGGTATTACCTATTTCAACAAACTTTGCTGATGGACTGCTAGGTAATTGGAAGGAGGAGCGCTTGGACTGCCAGCGCGACCTTTTCGTAACAGATCCGCTTGATGACAAGAAAGCATTAAAACGCAAGAAAGGAGGCCAAGCTCCTGGAACATGCTCCTGGATACTCCGTACGGAAGATCTTACTGCCTGGCTTGGTTCTGGACCGACGGTTGGCCCTGAGAGACAAGCGGCCCAGGTCCTTTGGCTCTACGGGAACCCAGGGACTGGGAAATCAATTATGGCCATATACCTCATAGAGGAGCTGCCAGAAACTTTCCCCAACAAGGACGGGGAAACGCTAGTCTACTTTTTCTGTGACTCTGGCTTCGAGACACGGAGGACCGCGACCTCGGTTATCAGAGGGCTTCTTCACCAGCTCATTAGGCAGCACCAGCAGCTTCTTGATTACCTCATGCCAGAATATCATGCGCGCGGGAAAGAGCTATTCAAGTCGTTTGACGCTCTCTGGGACATATTCATGGCTATGGTGGCGGATCAGAGCATGGGTCGAACATATTGCATCATTGACGCGCTGGATGAATGCGATCGAGAATCGCAACAGACCCTATTGCAACAGCTTGAAGAAAAATTTCAGAGCCGAAATGTCTCGTCCAATGTCCGCATAATGATCACCAGTAGGCCATATTCCGAGATACGCGAAAGCTTGCAGATGTTCCCAAATAAGGATTTGGCTTCTTTCCCCGAGAGACAGAAGGACATAGATCTATGCATCAGTGAAAGATTGAAATACATCGCCGAACGGAAACGCTACAGCTACAAGGTCAATGTGCAAGTCCGCAATATTCTCAGAGACAAAGCCGAAGGTACTTTCCTCTGGATTGGCTTAGCGTGTGACGAGCTGAAGGATATCCCTTCAAACCGCGCCATCCAATTTTTACAAGGCATACCTAAGGGTCTTGATGCGCTTTATAGGAAGCTTCTCAACATGGTCATTGAACAGAATGAGACCAGTGGCGATGATATCCAACGCCTCCTGAGCTGTGTGGCTGTATGTTCTCGACCACTGACAGTGTCGGAGCTCTCTGAAGCATGCCAACTGCACCAAGAGGAAGAGGACGTTGAGACAAGGATCCAGTTCACACACGACCACATCGAGTCTTGCCGCTTGTTGATCATCATCCAGGACGAAAAGGTGCTTCTATTACATCAATCAGTGAAAGACTACCTAGTTGGGGCTAGCTCGGGCTATTTTATCGAAGTTTCCGAAGCACATGCCCGCCTTGCATATCGCTGTGTTGATCTCCTCATTGAGCAGTTCCGCAGCACGAATCAACCGCATACTGGTTTCTCATATTATGCAAGCCTAGAATGGGCTAACCATGCGCGCATGGCCAAGTCAAGTTTCAAGGTCCAGTGTCCACAAGTGGAGTTTTTCCAGGTCGATTCTCCTTGTCGGGAGCAGTGGCTACGGGATGTAAGGTCAGCGGAGTCTTCGTTTCAAACGATTCCAAATGATTTCTCCATCTTTCACGTAGCTGCAGAGTGGGGGGTTTCCGCTTTAGTGGATTATGCCTCTCGCTTGGCAGTTCAGGAATCAGACATACAGAAGCTGACTGGTGTTGTTCACGTTAATTGCATGGATGGTTCAGGTAGAATGCCCCTTGAACACGCTGCTGGGTCGAGATACTCAAATGCTGTTGCTGCCCTCTTGAGCCGGGAAGGGAAGGTTACTACACAGGTGGTGAAGGCTGCGGCTGGAAACCCGTGGAATGGAAAAGAGGTGATGAAACTACTTCTCAACCGCTGCGGAGACCAGATCACTATCACCGATGAGGTGGTAAAGGCTGCGGCTGGAAACTGGGGGAATGGTGAAGAAGTGATGGCACTACTCCTCGACCGCTACGGAGATAAGATCACTATCACCGATGAGGTGGTAAAGGCTGCGGCTAGAAACTGGGGGAATAGTGAAGAAGTGATGACACTACTACTCGACCGCTGCAGAGATAAGACCACTATCACCGACGAGGTAGTATCTATTATTGCTGGACATTTTGACGAGAAAGTGGTAGCGCTACTTCTCGACCGCTACGGAGATCAGATCGCTATCACCGACGAGGTGGTAAAGGCTGCGGCTGGAAACTGGGGGAATGGTGAAGAAGTGATGACACTACTACTCGACCGCTACGGAGATAAGATCGCCATCACTGACGAGGTGGTGAAGGCCGCGGCTAGAAACCCGTTAAATAGTGAGGTGATGAAGCTACTTCTCGACCGCTGCGGAGATCGGATCACTAAAACCGACGAGGTGGTGAAGGCCGCGGCTGGAAACGTGGGGCGTGGTAACGAAGTAATAGCACTACTTCTCGACCGCTACGGAGACAAGATCACTATCACCGACGAGGTAGTGTCTATTATTGCTGGAAATTTTGACGAGAAAGTGGTAGCGGCGCTACTCGACCGCTGCGGATATAAGATCACTATCACCGACCAGGTGGTGATGGCCGCGGCTGGAAACGGGGGGAGTGGTAAAGAAGTAATAGCACTACTTCTCGACCGCTGCGGAGATCAGATCACCATCACCGACGAGGTGGTGAAGGCCGCGGCTGGAAACGTGCGGCGTGGTAACGAAGTAATGGCACTGCTTCTCGACCGCCACGGAGACCAGATCACTATCACCGACGAGGTAGTGTCTATTAGTGCTGGAAATTTTGACGAGAAAGTGGTAGCGCTACTTCTCGACCGCTACGGAGATCAGATCACTGTCACCGATGAGGTGGTAAAGGCTGCGGCTGGAAACTGGACGGATGGTAATGAAGTGATGACACTACTACTCGACCGCTACAGAGATAAGATCACTATGACCGACGAGGTAGTATCTTTTATTGCTGGAAGTTTTGACGAGAAAGTGATGGCGCTACTTCTCGACCACTACGGAGACCACATCACTATCACCGACGAGGTAGTATCTATTATTGCTGGAAGTTTTGATAAGAAAGTGATAGCGCTACTTCTCGATCA